CGAAAAAACTACTCAGTCTTTTCCATAGATGATTAGTAGTGGCCATGGTGGGCAACGTGTGTGTGTGTGTTTGTGTTTGTGCTAATCCTTGGGACGCACTGTGGTCTAGGTTCGAACCCGGGCGTGGACAGACCTTGCTTCATGCTGGGAGCCAGTTAGCCGTCTGTCTAAGACTCGATTTCAAACTGGGTGGATCTTTATTTTACTGCAATAATAAAGCTTCTGGATTCCAAGTTCGTTCTTCGCCCATTTTAAATGTCTACCTCAGTGCAGAACGCTATCTTTGAAAGAAGCGCTTTCGAATAACGGAGTTGGTTAAGAGTAGACAATTCCAGGTAAAAGATAAGCAGAGCTTGAATCTAGGTATAAAGACAAGAGTGAAAGTATCGCCATGGTAGTTGATAACTACCTTAACAGTTTCGTCCGTCCGTGAAGTGTTTCTTGCAGATTAGCCACATGATTCCGTACTTGATTCCGTAACTATGAGCTTGCTTCACTAGCTTTTATATTAGTCTCTCTTAAAATTATCTGGTGTTATAAGGCGAACAATCTCTATGCAAGCTTCATTGAATCCTAGCTAATAGCAAGTAGAGCAAGCATCATTAAATTCACATCAAATATAATAGCAAATATGGGCCCTCTAGTCCGCTTTCAATTTTGTCTGACTACTAATGGTGTGTAAGCCATCTTCGAACGATGAAGCTAACATTGGCTAGAGTTGACACCTGAAAAGGGGCTCGCTCCCCAATGTATATGAATAATAATAATAATTGTATTTAGTTTACGAGCCCGCTATGCATGGGGGGCACTTCATTTGAATGAGGGGAAGATGAGCGTGGAAGAAGTCTTGCCGAAGGGAAGACTTGTCATCGACCTCGCCTTTACCCCTAGTAACTGTTGTTTCTATTGCTCGCGCAGAGTAGAAAGTATCTCTTCAGCTTGGAGTGTGCTGCGACAGATGGTACGAAGGAAATTTACGCCTCTACCTCACATCGACCATAGGGCATTTCACAATCACGAGCACTGGTACCCCCTCATGGATGCATGCTGAGACAAGGTGATATGGACGTTTCCCGCACTTGATGCTGGCTTTCAGCACCTGATGTTATCTTGTGTATAGTACTACAGAGAACTAATGAAACTAGTTGAGACGAAAATCGGTATATTTGGCGCAACTTCCTAAATGCGACAACGAATTTCTCTTAGGAGATCTCCTATTTACGACAGATACGGAAAAAGTGTTAGTCACTGCCAAATCGAAGGCTAGAAGTAATTAAGATATTGGATATTGGCTACTTGGGGTAATGGTGCAGTTTTTTTTTTTGGGTTACAAATCTGTCTTGGACACGATATGGAATGTTTAAATATTACTGTTGGTGGCAGCCTAAGTGTAAGAATATGTAATGTTAAATTTCTGCGATAAATATTTTAAAAATGAGAGACCACATCCGATCATTACCAGTAATAACGATATCCAGTTGGGACTGCACTGGGTCAAGAACAGCGCAAGGTTCAGTGTTTGAGCTGTTAGTATGACTTTAGTACCACGTCGTTTCTATATTTCTACATAAGATCTCAGTTTTTTTTTTTATTAATTTCTAAGTTACAAGTTACAATCTTTAGGTTAATAGAGGATTTATTATATATATATATATATATATATATATATATATATATAGTAATAGGGCGTTGCGATTTCTAAGTTTCGTGTAACTTCTGCTTATTTCAAATATAGACCCATCACTGAGCTAGTTGGAAAGGGTGCACCATTTATAAAGTGAGAGCGGTGCTGGAAAAAAGTTCTAGATAGTTTGAAAAATATCGGGTTCTCCTGTTTCTTTTTAGCTCGTTGGCTTATATAGTTTGAACGGTCTCATAGTTGATGTAACTAAGGTTCCTTACTCATAATTAAATCGCCGTGTTTTTCACGCAGTAGCGTTTTATTTTGATATGCACAGTTATTGTGCAAGGTATGCCTAGATACGTGAGCTTCCTTATTCGATGACGCTCATATACGTCGCCAAACCCAAAATGAATATTGCTTTACTAATTGAGAAACTGTTTCAGCAAACATGGAATTGTTAAAGCGTCTACTGTAAAACTTCCTACCTTTAGTCCTTCTGCAACGAACAATAAAGTAAATAAATCGCTATTCAGTAGGGCATTAGAAGTCGACCATCTCAAAATAATCTGACAGCAGTCATCTGAACTATCATCGGTCGTCGGAAGCTAGTCGTCGTGGGCTGGGTATTCCCTGGGTTACGCGTGCACTGACTGTTGCCCAGTAAGTGTAATGATGTTAATTAATTGTGAAACAACCTAATCCAGAAACTGTGCATCTTTCTTTCCAAGTACCATTCGCAATATTGTCCTTTTCGGTCTCTACCACTGCCTGCATTTATTGATAGCATGGAGCACAGCCGTAATTAATCTTTTCCATTCACATGATTGTTACCGTGATACGAACGGATACTTGGTTAGCTGATACCAAGCTGACAATTGGATTATCTTAGAGAATTTTGGAACGGAACGTTGCTCATGAAAACCATATGTATTTTTTATCTGGTCCAAACTTATCTTTTTCCGATTAATTGTAAGGCGCATTTGCTTGAAACTTGCTCCGATATTGTCTCTATACTTCTGCTATACCTTTGTACTTTCAATGTATTTTATTATAAATTTTCTTTGCTCGAAAGTTAGTCTTGGTCTACTCATTACTTCCAGTTAAATGCACCTTGAGAAGATTGAACGAAAATGTCACGACTTACTAAATAATGCACACTCGTTTTGGGCACTCTGCACATACAGCTTGTCTTATCGGCAAGCGCGGGCAATTTCAAAATACTTCCGCTAGTTAAAATGGTTCAAGCAATCCTCTATATATATATATATAGGCAACCTGATACTAAAACAACTTGGCGACAAAGCTATTTAAATCCTAAATATTTTAACGTTTCTATTTATTTACATTCGCCTCTATTTACATTACACTTAATCACTTATTACGGATTTTATCTAATGCACGCCTTCCAAATGGGACACCAAATGAGGCATGCATAAACTTACGACATGTCACCACTTCTCAGTATCTATCCAGTAGCTAATAATAACAATATTAATTTAACAGCTTAATACTTTCAGTACTAAAATATATGCTACAGTGCGTATTAACGCAAGTTAGGCCTCGGGGGGGAGAGGGTCGCCGCATCTCTATATTCTGCACTGGATCTAATTAGAATTTCGTTCTAGTGTTTCTTTTGCACTTCAGTTTATGGCACTTTTTTTTAACATAGTTCACGAGCCTGGTCGTATTACTAAGCTTCCCAAAACACAAACCTGCTCCGTCCATAAAGCAACCTAACAAAGTGCGGTGTACATCGAGTTACCGCCGCTGCTGCTGATCCTGCAGCCCCCTTATACCCCTTATCGATTTTTCCCCTTACCCTGCCCCTAAGCGCTTAACTGCATTCTCCACCATCATCAGTGGTTGCCAGCAGGCCAACCAACTCCCTGATGCGTCCACCAGACTAACGTTTTCGTCTGTTCCTTCTAGCTCTTCTCACTTGTATCTTTTTCCCCTTTACCTCCCAGCAGCGCCGTGAGCGAGACCGCAGCAGCAGTTCAAGTATAACAAACTCTGCTGGCCACCAGGCCCTCCAGCAAGCCGAAGAGGCTAAAGAATGGGAACACGAGGCTTTAATGTGCTAATTGTACCCCTATGCTGGCCCTGCACTTTGTCCCCCATACACATGCCCCTATTACCGCCCTTAATTCGCTGCTGCGTGTCTTCTCGCGCTACACACCAGCACACAACCACCAGACTCCCACAACCTTCTGTCGTGCTACCACTGGTGGCGCAGACGAGGCAGAGCGGTAACAGCAGCTCATAGGGGAAATTGCGGGCGTGGGGCACGAGGAAGCAATTAAAAAGATTTATTCAATTTGCCTCCTCCTCTTCCTCTTTCACATCCCCCTCCTCTCTCTTTTGGCTCATTCGTGCTCCTGCCCTCGGCGCCTCGTAGCTTCCTATAGCCAGTCTTCCGCCAGCCAGCTGGTGGGCGAATGGCACCAGCAAGCAGACGGGGAGCAAGCGCCGTTCTCCGTTCGTTTGCTCAGTCAGGACCATTGCCACCACCACCACCGCTACCGCCGCCGCTGCTGTCGCTGCCGCCGCGCGCGCAGTCTCGTTGCCCCACAGCCTCTCGTTGCTCTCTCTCTCTCTCTCGCCTTTTTCGTGTCACTGCTGCACCCCGACCCGGCCCAATCCTGCCCCCGCCGTTCGTATGTTCGTCCGCCCCGCACCCGACCTTCCATTTCCCACCACTCAATTCGCTCATCGCACCCGCGCAGTTGGCCCCGCCCCTGTTGGCGCGCTAAGACCCGCCCACGTGACCGAGTGCCCAGCGCTAGTCCGTTAGCCGACCAATAGCAGGCCAGCGCGGTAGTGACGTCACAGTGAGATGAGATGATTTCTTCCTGGTACAGCGGGTGTATGTGCGCACACAGTTGCCATCGTAGTGTATCTTTCTACTGAGTGTAGCACATCTATGCGTCTCTGTGTATCTTGTCTGTGTATGCAGTGTAGGGCACAAAGAGTGCGTGCGTGGACGCCAAGTGGTGCCGGTTCGCCTGTGGAGCCAGCGTTGCCACCTAGGTACGCATCTAAGCAGTCAGGCAGACAGACAGACAGACAGACCGGCAGACATCCTCTCTCTCCGTTGGCCTGCTCCCAGTCCTGCTGGCGCGGGCTGCCTCTGCCAACTGCTTTTTCTCTTTCTTCTTCGAAGTAGCGCTGCGCCGCTGTGTGTACAGCCGGTAAAGCTACAGTATGGCGGCCGGTCACCAGCGCACGCTGCGGGTCTAGTCTTCGAGGGCGGCTGTGGCGGGTGCAGGCATTGGGAGGCTCCACAGCGCGGAGCTCATCGACACGGCAGCAGCGTGCCAGTGGGCAGTGGCTGTCGAGCAGTGCTAGCGTGCGAGTGCAGAAATGGCGGCGCGAATTCAAGCCGTGCGTTCAGAGTGAGTTGGGAACTCGAGCTGGAAGGAGGTCCCTGTTGGTAGGAGGTAAGACAGCAAGAAAGGACAGACAGAAGCATACAGGGCAAGCCGACGCAAGTGCGCTTGCCGCGTTTGTTCGTATGGCAGAATCGCAGTCTCCTTATCATCACAATAACGTTGATGAGCGCAAGTTAAGAGATCAGGCGGTAGTGTCGAAAGCCGTTCGTTACTGCTTTTATCGCATGTGCGAAATTCCATAACTCAAGTCGGGAACAAGGCAAGACGACGTTAGGTGTTTTAAGGATCGTTGTCATCTTTTTACATTAGCAACGTGGATGGCAGTGTGAATGGGGCCATCTATGCGACACTAGGCTGTGTTGACGCGCGTCTTCACTAATTCATTGAAAGTGTTAATAATAAGGATCATATCGGTAGAATGACCATTTGAGCAAACTTTGTTCGAACGAACCATTTGATTGGACTGAACTAGGCAAAGAAACTAGGACGTGCCACACATCAAGAGGTCGATTCTTGAACAGTAGATAAAACGCAGGACGAACTAACTCTCTACCCTCTATCAGAAAAAAAAATAGTGATAAAAAGTTCGTTTTTTTCCGTTCGTGTGATCGATTGTGTGAGGTTCTGCGGGCCTTTAGACGGCCAATCAAATTGACATCCTGGAGCATTTTAACAAGGTAACTATTGGTATTTCATTAACTAGATTTTCTAGTGTGCATTACTTGTATGGCACTGGAGCATTGTGAAGTGTTACCCAACTTTATCGTAAGCATGGGTTTTTCTAATGTTTGGGTTTCACCTGGGTTTCTCCTCTTTCGACCAATTATTAGCAAGTCCTTTAAACTCCGATCTGTCTAGGTGAAAACACGTTAAACAATGCTTTTTTTTTTTTTTTCCATAAAAATAGACCGGAAAAGGACTTCGGGTAAAAGTTTCACAGCATAAGTGTGTGTATGCGTCCACGCGGTGCTGTCTATTCCATCATGTAGTACCATAGCGTAAGTCTGCTTGTAGGAAATAGATTGAGCTCATATTTTTGGCGTTGCGTATTTCATCTCAGAACAAATGTCACAGTGAACTGTGGGTATGCACCTACACAATGTATACATTATATAAGAGTAACTTTTAAGTCACGAGCACAAGTTAACGTCCGATCCGAAAGCATGAAAAAAGATGATCGCATATTAGATATCCTTGCCGATCTGAGCACATTAGTTTAGCGGATTCATAAGTGCCGTAAAAGTTTCACATTTACGGCACATCTAACCTTGTTGCTCTGACACAATGGGTGCGTCAGTTTAAACATTTGGCTTATACTCTTCACATTTACCAGTTAACGATAATTTACATATTCGAGGTGCCCGACAACAGAATATCTTCGCCGCTAAAAATAATTATAGCAACAACGATAACGATACTAGAAGATAGTCCGAGTGTAGATTCTTAGATGCTTGAAGACTGAGCATATCATTGAAGAAATTCTGCATTCACTAATAGTACTGTTTCCCTATCCATTAGCGACTGATACTGATACCTCTGCCTATACGGTGAGCCGCTATTGATTTGCAGTGTTTTTTGTGTCGTACACTAAGGACTGAAAATAATGATGACTGTTTATAACCTGCGAATTCTTCCATGAGAAATCATTCAATAACTTGGTTAAATTCTGCCACTGTTATCGTTCAAATCGATGATAGAATAGTCGCGTCACCGACCTGCCATAGGCGTTGAAGCGATCATTGGGGGTCCCCTTGAATGACTGTTATCACTGCAACGGTTGTAGATTTCAATTGATAGAACGTAACGTTTTTCTGGAGCGTATGCGTGTGTCATACATTGTCAGTGTCTATTATTTACCTTCGAAAATGGATGATGCTCTCATTAGCATTAGCACATTTGTCTTCAGTGTTTAATTACAATTAAATTCACGTATTTTATTCAAAGGAAAGGCCCCCTGGAGCAAATTACGTTTGAAACTTTTTAATTGTCACTATTAACGATGCGAAGATATTGTCAATGACAATACTCTTAGATCAAAGCCGTAATCTAGAATAATTATCTTCTTTTTTCTGCCTTGATTCATCTATCGAGTATGGCCGTCACTAAGCGGTCGGTACCATATAGTGACGAGTTCCAGCTGAGCAACTGGAGAAAAACCGCTTGGATTTGAAGCAGAAGGCTTCTCAAAAGTAGCGGTAACAAAATTACAGTCGTTCGTACATTAGCTCACAATCGTACTTTGTCGACTCGTCATATTGTTCTCAATGGGCTTAGCGCGAGAGCACTGTTGATTCAATTTACCGTAAAATCTTCTCTCCCGCACAAGGATATCCTTCGTCCTTGTCGTTTTTTTTCTAAAGAACCGTGGTGCAAATAAACCTAAATGCAAAGATTAGCTAAGCTTAAGAGTTCTTCAACTTAATCCAAATTGTCTTTTTCGTTTGTCGTCGCTCCGGCTTCAATCTCTCCTGCGACCAATCCATCTTTATCTCTCTCTCCAGGTCGAAGTCATCTCGGTGACCAGAACTTCGGCTCTGCCCGGTCTATCCCACGACTTGAGAGCAAGGTTGTACTTACCTCGCTGCGGCTTCTTGATTACTTGGCTACCGCCATCGCTCGTACGTTACGCGCACTTATCCGATTATCTTGTTCGTAGCTCGACGGCGACCACCGTTGCTGCTGCTGCGACTACAATTAAGGCAATAGCGGCGGCGGCAAGACGGCAGCAGCAGCGTCGACGTCGCACCTCGTGTCTCGTCCCGTCGGCGGGCAATGCGCCTAGGTAGGTGTCCTCCGAGGCCGCGGGCCCCATCGCTCCTCCAGCCACCGTCGGAGAAATGATCGTAGCTCCCATCATACAACTGTTACTAGTCGACAAATAATAATATTTGTGCAGATGGCGAGGCGGCAATTCATAAATTATGCTGCCCCTTGCTACCACCCCAGCGGTACCGCCTGCCGAGCAACGCTCGAGTCCCAGCCGGCAGGAGTTACTGCCCTCGATGGGCTGCAGAGGCACAGCCCAACCCCAAGCTAGGGCGATTCCGCTTTCCTCTTAAGCAAGCAAAGCCCAGGGCATTGCTGCCTGGCTCCTCCGACAGCCTCAAGTCCAATCGCCCTTTCCTGGTCCCCACTTCCCGTTGCCTCTCCCCCTCCCACGATACTCCCTAATTCCACACCAAACTCACTATTACGAGCCACAAGCCCATCCAGCCGACTAGTCTGCTACCAAGCCTGCGCCCTCGTCCACCCGTTCAGCCACCCACCACCCACAAGCCCCAAATAGAGAACTGAACAGGGGCGAACTAGCAAGTTCTTTCTATCTCTCTATTGTGCGCTGTATACTCGGTATATCATGTACTATTCTGTACACAATAGCGTAGAGCAACGTTAAGCTAGGTTAGCGGGGTATGTTGTTGTTAGCCTCGTGAGCTCATCCGCTTACGTTTGCTATCTTAGCACAATACTAGTTGACACAGGAAGTGAGGGCAGATAAAACTGGTGAGGGAGCGCTCATCGCGAGCCACATCGAGAGATTGGCTCCATTGACTTCCTATGGACAAATTTATACTCACTTGATCCGTAACAAGTTCCATTGGCGCGAACAGGGTTTAAATAACATCGCGTTCCTGCTGGCCGCGGAGTTATCGAACGCAGAGAAGATGGATGTGCGCTGAGTGGGGCGTCTCATTATCAAACCAGTCATGGGAATTTTGATTGGCAATATGATTCGCACGATACGTGCGGTGTGCAGATTGATCCTTGAAATCCTTTATGAGTAGGGCCGGTTTGAAGGATGAGCACAAATATTCAAAAGTTATGTTAAAACCCTTTTTGCTCTTTAGGCAAAGCTACGGCCGGATAGGCAGGGTGATGCAGAGACTTTTTTATGCCTAATTTTTTATTTCGTATAGATATACGACGTTGAATAAGCGCTTATTATAAATGAGATTTCATATCGTGTTTAGTATATTCGTGTATAGGTAGGATTATGTTATTGTGTTTCATCGTATGTTTTCACCAGCCACCTAATCTACCTAGAATTTTTAAGGGCCATTTGCAAAATCTTTTTATTTTTATCTGGCTCTAGCTATATAATCTGCATAATATAGGGTGGTACTTCGTTTATTATTTTCGAATGGAATTTATACATCGTGGGGTGTATTTTTATATTCTTGTCTCAAGTGACCGTGATATTACTAGTAAAACTTCAAACCACATAACACTTTCAGTTCCCTTATGTAAATTCGTACTCTTAAGAAATGTTGGCGTTAGTTGGTAATAGCCGCTTAACAAATTAGTGGTGCTTAAAGAAAAAAAAATACCAGCCGCCAGGTACATGAAGGCGTTGATACGCCGAACGTTTGAAGTCAAAAAGAGACGAGTTAGATCATAGGCACAAATAACAATAGTAAGCCATCTGACATCGTTCCCGGATAAGCTTTATCAAAAAGGTCATCTCTAATATTTTTGATCAGAATGACATCGTGTCAAACGTCATTTCTGAAAGCGAGTTGTCTTCCATTAACAGGCTGTTTATACTAT